CTCTTCTTTGTCAACTGAAGGTTCTTTCTTTTCAATAGTTTTTTCATCTCTTGGTTTTCCTGCTCCAAATATTTTCATTCTTTCTGTTGACATTGCAAGTTCATCTTCCTCTGATTTTTTAACAGTGCGAGGCTTGAGGTTTAACTTTGGCCTTCTGGCTAGATCCTCTGTAAAAAAAAAGCAAATAAAATTTGAAACTTGGAAGTAAAGATGCTTCCTTGAAATATGTCATTTAATTTTCATATTCACTAAGACTTTTGGAAAGCTATTCCTAATTACTAGACAATGACTTATCAGGAAACAAAGTGAATAATGACTCATGCTATTCTTATACACTGTTTGAAAGGGCTACTTGGACGAAAATTGCAAAATATTAGAAAAGACTTGAAAATCAAATAGACCTATCATATGGGTCTAATAATCATGAAGCAACAGATTTCAAGAAGATATTGATACAAATCCTTAATAATTGGGCAAAAAATGTTGGAGTAGATGACGTCATTTACTCCATCCTTTTGTTCTTCCATCTTAAGAATCAAAATTTTTCTGATGGATAATTCCAAAACAAATATTTCCCCCCATTTTTCCCACTATAGGAAAAAAGATTATTTTATCATAATATCAAATTTATTAAACAGATTGTTTGAAAAGCTTTCCTGGTATAATTGGAAAAGAATTCTTGTGTCAAAAAACATGTGATTTAAAGGTTCTTCAATGTACTTAACATTTCCTGAGATTGTTTGCATGTAGTATACCTGGGTCTGGTTGTTCAAATTCTTCAAATCCCCTGTCTTGAAAGCCTCTTCGTGCTCCTCCCCTTCCACCTCTACTAAAATTTTGTCTATTATGACCCCAGTCACCACCATCATCACCACCACGATCTAAAATAAAAGTTAATTTTGATTACACCAATTCTTTTTGTCCATTGTTAAGTACATACATAAGGTACATACCCCCTCTATAACCTCCTTGACGTCCCCTATCTTGATCATAGCCTGAATATGTACATAGTACATTAGCAGGACTTAAAACAAACCATCACTAGTATAATAATTAGGTCAAATTAACTGAGAGGGGTCTAGATAGAAAAATCTAAACCACAGATGGAAAGTACAGACCRAGAGCAGTGTGATCTGTATGACTGACCACAGTCTAGATTTTTYTATCTAGACCAAGCAATCTCTGTTAAAAAATAGTTTTATTATATGTATGACCATCTTCATTGTTGGCAAAAAAATTCATCCAAAGATAGTATAAAGTTTTCATAATTTTTTTTACGCTTTTTACGGACTTCCCACCTGAATTTTTGTCTCAATAATAACATTTTTCTTTTCCCAAAATTTTTGTCACTAGAAATAGCATCAAATTGAATTTTGGTGTTGTTGTTTGTAAGTTTTAAGTGTTAAATTAAGTAACAATTTGCAAAAATTCAAAACACCGCAAGTCAAGAACAGCATGGGGTCAAACTAGGTGAATATACTTGCATCCAGGCTCCAATATAATGTACATGGTCATTTAATTATCTACATGTAACTAGGTTTCTCATTACAGAATATTTATCATTAAAAGTAAAAAGGAGGAGAATTTAGGGACATGGGGCAATGCACTTTGAGTATGTGTAGACATTTAATTTAAATGGTTACTTAAATGAAAAGTGCATTATCAAGAATTCTTTTGATACAACTAATAAATTAACTCTCTAATACACTGCAGTACATTATCCCAAACAAATGCAAATTCAAGAATATTCGTCATGAATAGCCCATATTCACCTCCATATCTTCCACCTCGGTCATCAAAACCTAATAAAATAACAAAACCATTAATATCATAAAAAAATTCCTTGGTTATTTTTTATTGTTTGCTAAATTGAATAGCTAAATTTGGGGCAAATCGAATTTTGAATGCTTGCCACTCTTTGTTTATTTTTTACTGACATCTGCYATTTATTTATTGGTCAATGTCTRMACATRCACCTACKTTTCAAGTTCWAAAGCAYGTACAGGGATACAGKAAGCAACAAAATTGTTGGTGAAACAAAGTTTGTTGGATTTATTGCAGTATTGTTTTTCCCTTACTGGTAAAATTATTTGAGTTACTTTTGTTAGCCATCCACGAAATTCTACTCAGAACCCTGTGCAGCAGRAAAACAAAAACAAAAGTYCACACTAACCTCTGTCTGAATGACCTCCAAATCCTCCTTGATGGCCTCCACCCCTTCCACCTCGACCCCCGCCCCTTGGCCGATCACCATCTCTTTTCTTCTGAGCAATATTTACTCGAAGAGGATTTTGAGATCCTTCTATGTACTGAGATACAAAATAAAAAGTGAATTTCCTTAGAAACTTTAATGTATAATGCAGGAACAAGAGTATAACATATACCTATAGTCATCTGAGAGAAAGGGAAAATAACATGAGCATCTAAAAATGTTTTAGAGTATTTTTAGAAGAATATGACTATATCACATTTACAGACAATGTGTTTCATGAAATGCATATTAGTCTAATAAATGATAATGGTGATAATGGATACCAGCAGAAAATAGGATACACATTATYAAGAGATTATTAAAAAGCTACAAAAGAATATGGCTTCTGTTATACTATTCTTTGTAAACTTACACATCCATTAAACTCCAAGGCATCTCGTAGTGAATCAGGGTCATCAAACTCAACATAACAGAATCCTTTAAGAGGAAAGGAAAAACACCATCAATATTGCTTWAAAAAAAAGAAATTGTGCATCAAATCCAGTATGCTTTTGAATTTTGTTAGTTTCAAAGTTACCTTTGAATTTGTCAGTATCTCTGTCTCTTACTAATCGAATGCTTCGGATCTAGAAGGAGTAATTTTGATGGTAATAATAATGTTAATGAAAGTAATGACAATATAATTTACACTCCAGTTCCATTTATAATGAAAATGCTWCTGTATTTGTACTGCTGTAACCTTGACAATAAACATGTGTTTCTCAGTCAATGAATTTAGCACTGTCTGAAACCCCAGGCAATCCAAACAGTTTAAAACACTTAGACCTATGTAATATTCTATAAATTAGAATGTGATCAAAAGCTACTGGAAAAAGATAACAAAAAAAGATCAAAAATAATCATTTAACATCTTTCTTTGTTATTTTGCAGCCCTTTTAAGGAAATAGTTAACTTTGTATGAAATAAAGTTTTTTTTTCTGTTGCCCAGGGAATGACTGAAAGGACTTTAACACCGGATTCAAATCATATAAACAATTACTTTTTTGTAAATTGAGAATTTTAAAATCTTACATTTTACACAGAGGATCAAAAATTAAAGTGACTACACAAAGACTTGGTATATTGGTGACAATACAGCTTTGTGAAACAAACACTTTGATGAATCCTAAACACACGTTTTGTTGAACTGGTAGTCACAACACAAAGAAATGGCGGAAAATCTAAGAAACACTACTTACAAACAGATAAGAGCGTCACCCTTCTTATCAATGACATACCTTTAAACCTTCAAAAATCCTATCAAGGTCTCCTTGAATAGTTGAGGGAGGAAGATTCCCCACATAAGCTGTAAATGGCGGCTCGGTAGGGAAAGCGACCGGACCACGACGCTGCCCAGGTCTTCCCCCTCCACGGTCACTTCAAAAACAAACAATTCAAGTGAGATTGGAAGACCTAAGAAAGGATTATACAAAGGAAACGTTAATATAGTCTTACCGGGTGTCTCCTCCGAAATTATCATAGAAACCTCCTCCTCTATTGCCATAACGTGGTCCAAATTCTTCCGCCATGTTGGCTCGAGAAGATAGACCATAATAATTTCCATAACTCACAATGACTTTAGCCAGCGGATTCCAATTAAGAGAATTCAAAATGGCTGGTTCAAGTGGTTTTTGTCAGCCACTATTAAATGAAGGTAAATATAGGTTAATTGTACGAACTGTGCCATTCTAAACCACCGAACATATTTTTCGTGTTTTAGTTTTTTATATTGGATTATTTTTTTAGAGTCAGAYGATGCTGCAAGAACGAGATTTCAAGTCGAGTTAGAATTTGTTCAGTGTCTTGGCAATCCTTACTACTTGAATTGTAAGTTTATCTTGAATGATTCTTTGTATAAAAATAGAGGAATTGTAGCCGATGTTATTACAAATTAAACATTCGTCTATCATCAGTCAGTCTCTTACTAACAACATAAAGCTCCCTTTTAGCTCAGCATTTTGATGGTGGTTTAAATTTCAGAGCACTTTATTTGATTGTCTTTTACTAATAATCGTTTTATTCCAAGTATAGAAAAGCCTTATAGCAAAAAAAAAAAAAAACAATATAGTAACTAGTCAATAAAAAAGAACTAGTGTTTTCCATCATTTGAACATATATAAGATTTACATGTACTCTCTCCATCTTTCTTTAGTTCTTGCACAAAGAGGATATTTTAAGGAAAAGAGCTTTAATAATTACCTCAAGTATTTGCTATATTGGAAAAAGCCTGAATATGCAAAATTTCTAAAGTAAGTCTTGAAGTTATTCATTGGTGCATAATGYTGAATGAATAAAAACAATTTAAGAAAATACAGCAACAATAACAGCAATGAAAACATTTAGTCTCTTTAGTCTATCTGTTCACAAAATAATGGATAAAAATAGCACTGGTCAACTACAATTGTAGTTTTTTCACTTCTGTGTTTAAAGGTATCTTTATTCTTGCTGCCATTGTAGAATTTTATATCAAATTTTATTTCTTTTGGAGTAACAAAATGTTTGTCTTTTCCAGATATCCACAATGTTTGCATTTTTTGGAGTTACTTCAATATGAACACTTCAGAAGAGAATTAGTCAATCCACCATGTGCAAAGTTCATTGATGAGCAACAGATTCTTCACTGGCAATATTACTCAAGGAAAAGAATGCGTATCCCAACACAAACCCAACAACCAACAGGAGAAGAAGCCACGTCAAGATGATCATAACAAGACCCTTACTCAATAAGAATATTGTAAATATTGTAGATATGGATCTATTCATGTATAAATATCCAAATAAAGGAAAACAATGTAGGCATCAATATTTTTTTTTAATTTCCCTTTCTTAGGCAGGTTTACAAGTATTTTTGTCACAAAAAATTACAATGAAACTTCATTTTAATGAAATCAGAAATAGTTGAAATTTGCAGTGTATAAAAACTCCATTTGAAATATAGTTGAGTTACTGTTCATTAATTTGTTCTGAGTTATCCACAATAACAACAAGCTGGTTGTTATCAGCTGCATCAACATATACTGAATCTGTGTGGTCCCAATTTTTTTCCATCTGAATCCTGAATAGTTTTTTGAACTTATCCAGACCAGCGGAGACAAAAGCTAAATGTTGTTTGACATCGTCTAGAGACTTCTGTTTCAACATCATTTTCCCTTCACAAAGCTGCTGTAAATTGTGATATTCCTTCACAAGTATGTCTGGAATAATATCTGACATAGAAGTTAAACTATGAGCAAATTGTAAAGCATCAGCAAGATATGAAAACGTAAGGCATTCTWTTTCACTCCATGAACTATAGCACTTAACATTGACAGGTTTCTTTTTCATCTGCTGTAGTTTGTGTTTAGTACGTAGCCTTGTTTTCTGTGATCTGTAAGAAGCTCTGCTTTCAGTTGAAGTACCATTAGGATTTGAGCAGTTAAAGCAGCGACAAAGATGATTGCATGCCTCACCACTACGGAAACACTCACATCTTGTTAAATATTGTCCTGAAATGTGTACACAGAACTGCCTCTCCTTGCTCTTAGAGTTACTAAGACCACATCGGCAAGTGTGCTTGGGCTTTGAAGGTTGTGAAGGTGTGAGGTTGACAGAATAGTAGCTACCACACCCAGCTGCTGAGTATGCCATGAATAGACACTTTGAAGTTATTGGTTTTTCTGCAGAACTTACTGGTATAACAGGAAAGTGTTCCATTGATGTAAAGATTACCAAAGACAATCTCAGCACTCTCACAGCAGCTATTGGCAGCAAATTGATCATTTCAGCTGTTGAAAGCATACAATAATACTGATCAAGACATGATAAGTGGTTTGTATCAGCCAATCTGGCTTCAGAAATGGTGGAATTATTGAGAAAACAGGAAGATATTTAAAAGTTTTACTTTGTTTTAGATTGAATTGTACTATACACATGAAAGTGGCTTATTCACTGTATGTATTATATATATTTGAATTATTATTCACAATACCTTGGAAATAGCCTATGTGTGTAAACAGTTCAGCCTCCTGTGTAAAGTCCAACAGTGGTGAAACCAAAAGTTTGCTGTATTTATCCTTATTCTGTAACCACTCACAGCTAACTAATTGACGAATAATTGGAACTCCTTCCCTGCTGTCCTTTAACTCTTCCACATTATAACCCATCAAATTCAAGTGTTCTTTCATTTGAATCGCCTCTGTTTGGTTTTCAGACTCCAGAGAGTTCAGAAGTGAGTGAAGGCTGTRTATTAATGCAATGAAGAAGCCATCAGTGTCTTGGCCTGTTGAATTGACAATAGCTCCTCCAAAACTTTCAACAATGTTCTGTAATGTACTTGAACTTGAAGACTCATCGCTAACATGACAGTGGTTCCTGGTAAAGATTTGCGTACAGCAAGGAAGAAGGTGATAATGCCACATATCAACAGGAAAGACTTTCTCCAAGTAAATGTACTTGAGATTCTGATGAATCAAGTAACTGTTTTCTGCTTGCACTAATACCTTTGAAAGCATTTCCTTGCTTAGGAATTCTGTATTTGTAGATTCTGATAACTCAGTGTCAATCAAACAGCTTTTGTCATCTACTTCCCAAAGCAAGGAGAATAACAATGAAAAACTAGAACTAAAGGTTGAGGATAAGAGACAGTGTTCATTGTCACTACTTTCAATTTCAACATCAATGCTACCAAATTGTTCGACTGTAGGAAGAAATGTCACTGTGTCCAATGCAGCTTTATAGGAATTAACTGGTTGAAATGTTTCCCTTTCACTGTGATTTTCATTCCAGCAATAAAACAACACAGTTATAGCAGGAATTGCCAAGTCAACACTCATAAATCGCTTATTAAGGACAGGTTGAAGAAACTCTCTCAGCTCATTTACATACTTTGCTCCTGAATTAGGTGGAACATCACTAAGACATCCCTTACTGACAGAGTTCTTGATGTCCTCTAGTTCACGAAGAGCAGGATCATGTAGCAGCCGTTCATTGGTTTCTCCTTTCATTATCTTCCAGTGTGTAATAAAGGAACAAAGATTTCCAAGAATAGTCTCTGGTGATGCAGTTTCTTCCTTCCGTTCTGTGTTCAAATCAGTTGACTTTTGAAAGACAAGGCCAAACTCTTGCAAGCAGGTGGCAACATGATCGTGATCACCTGCTCTTACTTTAAACTTCTTCTCGAGTCTTCTGGATGCAAGTTTGGGATCCATTTTCACCTGAACATTGGGCCCAAAAATAGACTGGATAAAGTCCTTTTGTTTGCAACACTCAGCCATAAGAATCAATTTGATATCAACTCCATGTTTCTTGAGACGGATATGGACATTCTGAAGGAGTAGTGAGGTATTTTCAATAGATGTACCTTTTGTAGCTTGCCAAGCAATGACTTGGCCCTTCTCATTCATGACTGCAAATATATTGTTATACAAAGACACCCATTTCTTCCCATCAGCCTCCAGTGTGCCAATGTGTGGGTTTGACTTGAAGAAGTGACCAATCAACAAAACCTCAGCAGACATTTCACTCATCCTTTGATGATAATAGGGCTTATAGTCTTGGTAGCTTTCTAGAAAGGACCCTAGAATCATTTCCATGGAAGGAAGGCCTATTGGTTTATAATCAGGAAATAATACAGGGATTTYGTCTATTTGAAGACCAGCATTAGAAAGACAAAGGGCTTTATCTTCCTCAAACTTTGCCTTGCATTGGACAAAGTTAGTCATGTGCTGTTGACAAATAGCTTGCTCAATATCTACTAAAGTCATTCCTGCTGCTGCTAATGAAACAACTGTTTCACAAAGTTCTTTAGTAAATCCAGTCTTGTGAAGTAGAACAAAAGGAATTTTGTGGGATTCTGATGAAGGGATTTTGGATAGAATCTCTGGATCATGAGCAATATATGTCTTATGATTCAACTTGCTTTTACAATGATATATCTTGCTCAAAAGCACTGTTGGCCAGCTTGAGCTAGAGAGATGTCTTGGCATCTGTGATGCTCGATAGCCAGCTTGCCAACAGTAATCACCCTTGCGAGATTTCTTTGGCTCAAGCAAGTAAAAAGATCCTTCTTCCTTATGACCCTCATAAGGGCACTCCAATCCATTTTCAAAGCAATCAAGTTGTTCTAATGGATCCCAAAGTATTACAGATGGCAATAAGTACTGATATGGGGAGGGGACAGTGAGACAACCTTCAGAAACTTCTGGAACAGGTGGAAGGATGACATCAGGTGGTTGCACATGGCCATTATCATAATGCTGAGTAAGTTTGGTATAGTAATCAAGCACAAATTGAAGGCTGAGATCCATCTATTAAAAAAAGATTGCACATTTTTATATAAAAATCATTTTTTATATTTCCCTAAGTAAATTCCTTATTCATCAAGATTCAGAAAAAGATCTAATAGATGGACAATACAAAATTCACAACATACACACCTATCATTTCATAAACAAGAACAAGATAAAGCTTTTCTCTGACTTGAGACTTTCTGCGTGGAGGCCGCCATTKTTTATACAGTTACTAGTGCCAGTCTCCTCTCTGATATGTAGTAAACAAGTAGTATAGAAGCGTCCAAGGATGTGATAGTTATGAGTTCGCTCAGTTACCTCAGAAACACATTTTATCAGACTCTTGAAGTAGTGATGGTGTTCGTTGTCATAAATCACCTGTTTGATTTTCTATAGAGACTGYCGCACKTATTTTCACCAAGGCAATGGTAGCAAGATGCGGTTCTTCACTAGAATTATTCTACTTTTAGTTGTGATTGTTGTTTTCTTTGAACTTTTACTACTCGTAATATTTAAAAGACAAGATGTTCCCCTGCCTGCGGGCACTTCAAAAATAACWCAAGAARGCCATRAAAATTATCAAGACGTACAGAWTAGCATAAAARCGTCGGATGCCGTGGGAAGGTGAGATRAAKTACTTGTTTGATGAACTCACTGCTTTGTGTTGGTGGAAGTTCTCAAGCGTAACAGCTGTGTAGCGGGATCAATTTCAGTRAATTTGGCTTTATTGTACGGTCGACTTTTTGGCTGTGAATAATTAAAGCCAAAAGTTGTTTTAAAATTCTAGTACTCCTTTGCTTTGACTAAAACTTTTAAATAAATAAGCTTATGG